ATAAATTTAAATTAGCAACCAAAGTTCGTCGCTAAATTTAAATCAGATTTATTTATATTTTATATAATATTTAAAATAATAATATAATTGTTAAAAATTAGAACTGTGTCCCAGATTAGCGATCAAAGTTGGTCTCTATTTTTTTAAGCGACCAACTTTGGTCGCTAAATTTGAATTATATTTTTTTTATATTTTATAATTTTTTTAAATAAAAATATAATTATTAAAATTTTATAACTAGGTCCCATTTTTGGTGACCAAAGTTGGTCGCTATATGCTTACCCCTTAATTAGCGACCAACTTTGGTCTCTAATTTTAAATTATATTTATTTATATTTTATAATTTTTTTATATAATATTATAACTATTATAATTTTATAAGTGGGTCCCCCTGTAGCGACCAACGTTGGTCGCTAATCTCAGTATACCTTTGACCAAGCAAGTCTGACTAGTCTGGTCAATATTTTGACGAAATTAGCGACCAAGTAGCGACCAACCTTGGTCGCTAATCTATATCAAATAATTATTTTATTATTTTCGCCAATTTAGCGACCAACTTTGGTCGCTTTTCTTGACAGACCAACTTTGGTCGCTAAAGTTTGGTCGCTTTTTTTCGGAATTCTAGTAGTGTACATCTTTAATTTAAATATTATTTATGTTAGTTTTAAATTTTTTATTTTCAATAGAAAGAATACATGCGCAACGCGCGTACACTAAGACTAGTATGTATATATATATATAAACATACTAGTATACGTATTTACACTAGAAAGATACTTTTCAGCTACTATCACACCTCCCTTTCACCACTAAATTATTCACATAAAAAAAGCCTAACAATATATATACACTCTTACACGCTAAAAAAATATAATTATATAATATTATACATAATTGTACGCATTTATACACACGTATACATAATTGTATAATATTATATAAGTGTGTATAAACATTGTTCATATAATATTTACACTAGAGTATGCCTTTTATCCACCATCATGCCTCATTTCAGCACCAACAAAAATTAAGTCCAAACTAGCAAAATTTAGCTGGAAAGTCTTTTCTCCGATGATATATATTGTTCTTTTGTGCAGATCTAGTCGGATAGTGTCATATCTTGCGCATTTAGTCGATTTCTCTGAAAGTCGATGACTACTATTGGCATGTACTAATCCAATAACTGGTCTCAAATCTGGAGTCAAACTTAATCGATAAGCAAAAATGGAGATTACACTCTAATAATCAAAAGATACTAATATAAATAGATAAGAAAGTTAGAAAAACCACCACCTAAGAAAGGGAAAAAATATACTAAAACGATAAACTTCACCCAATGACTACTAGACAAATGATAGAAGACTGACACTCACAACACTAAAAAGCTATACGATGTATAACCAAAAGTTTGGGATGATGTGATCCAAGTCAATCTAGAGGTAAAGTAGTTCCTTGAGTTTGTCCATCGAGTCAGTGGCAAACTTCCAAAGTGTGAAAAGTGAATAGATGCTGTCGAATTAGATGTGAACAAATTTTTGAAATCCGCTCTTAGAGTTCGAGAATTCAAGTGTTGGCAAGTCAGCTAGCGAACCAAGGATCAAAAGTATGTTTCGTGCCTATAGTCATTCTTCTATCTAGTAGTAATCCAATCTCTAGTCGTTGGTACAATTTAAACGAGAATGCCGTGTTGTCCAGCACACTTGATTACTGCGATCGACCCGATAAATCAAAGCATCCTGGCCAACCGACTAACCGGTTGAGAATGGAACAAATAGGGGATGTTAAATTCTTCTTTCATGTCTTTCAACTATAGAGTAAGATTTTCAGATCCGAGTTCAACTTCAAGATCCTAAAATCCTTCAATGGAGTTACCCAGATGTGTTCAGCCAATAAATAATCACGATCTCGAAAACTTCAACTCCAAATTTGGATATCATCAATTGAGATTCAAACCAACAAAGCGAATCAAACAACAAGTACCAGCTCTATTGAACTCCCTTTTTTTATTGTTCTGGATGAATCAAACACACGATACAGAATAAAAAGAAAGGAAATCCACATGTGTCATATACTCATGTTGGTGTATTCATATAAAAGCTATTAAAGATTGCTGAGAAAATGGTCTTTATCATATAGTTCCTTTGTGATCATGTAAAAGTACATGAGTTAAGTTACTTAGTGTATATGTTGTTGATATGCGGACTAGATGCATTTGTACATGCTTTGATCTGGTTATTTGAACATCATGCCTGTTACCTTCTTCTTGAACTGTGCCTATCGTACGTATGATTTGTCCGAAATTTGAGCTGAAGAGGATGGGCAAGTTTTAGAAATTGCACCCTCCTCATTTCAGCAGTGTTCCTTCGGAGGATGATCAGGAGTTGTGTTAGGACCGAAAAATCAGGTGTCATACGGAAGCTAGCAAAGCAAACCTTGAGCGACAATAAATCATACAACAAAAAGAAATATACCAAAAGAGGCACAAACATTTAACGTGGTTCGGTCAACTGACTTACGTCCACAACGGAGATGAGCAATCCACTATATAAAAAATAAAGAAGGTAAACCCTTCAAGAAGAACACCCTTCAAGATACCACTGTTATGTCGAGGAAGAGGCAAACCCGAAAATAAAGAAGATAAAGAACACCAAATTTTAACGTGGAAAACCCTTCAAATCGAAGGTAAAAACCACGGGATCACAAAGATCCAAAAAGCTCCACTATATAAAAAAAGAGTACAAAATATCGAGAGAACAACCTCACGAAAAGGCAAAAACAAGTGACACACTAACATTTGTCCCGTAAAGTTCTTCCCCTAAACACGACTCTCAAACCCCATATGACTACATTGTGGATGCTGCTGAATGAGAAGGACGGATCCTCAATTTATAGAAGTCCAAACCTTTTCCTACAAGAAAAAGGACTAGCCAAGTATAGGAGAATTATAATTTCCTTCTACAAAAAGGAAAACCAGTTAAGGTAATTATATTGCCCTTTCCTTCAACAAATAGGAAAATCAAATATGTTAAGAAAATTATGGCAAACACCTAACAATTTTCCCCCTTGGCCGGAATTTTCTGACAAAATAAACTTGATCCACCTTCTTCACATAGCCTTCAACAGGTTGCATCTCCAAATCTCCACCACAAAGTTTGTCTCAACGTGCGTAGCACACCGGTCAAATTTCTCAGACAAAAATCACGAATATCGTCAAATATGTTGCGGCTAGAACTGAACCCGCCAAGATGAACCTGTCTTGAACCTCGCTCTGATACCACCTAGTTTTTCGATCCTAACAAGTTGTTAGACCGGTGTCATGAGATTTTGCGCAACTTGGGACTGGTAGAGTCCAATGGGGTTTGACTTTACTTTCTTCCGGATGTAGGGATTAGCAAAGAGGTGGTGGTAGATCTATGAGCAAAGTGAACCAGTAGGGTCACCTCCTCTTACTTTGGCTCAGTTTTCACAGCTTTTCTTAGAGAAGTTTATGAATAACCTACGTAGTTAGCTTAAGCATTTGCAGCAGGGTAATAAGATAGTCACCCAATATAAGACGAGGTTTGTTGATTTGTTTCACCATGCAGCTATCCTGATCCTTCCTGAGAGGGAGAAGGTATGGAGGTTCATCGAAGGGCTTACTTATGACATTATACTTCACATGGCTAGAGAGGCCGAGGCTGAGACTATATTTTCCCAGGTGATGGAGATTGCTAGAAGGATCGAGTGTATTGGTGGCCAGGGGAGAGAGGCAACTAGTGATAAGAGGCCTATAAAGTAGGCCAAATCGAGTAAAAAGGTAATATATTGGCCCAATTTAGTTGGGCCAGCGGAGAGGGAGACTAATTTTGTCTTAAAAAATGGAGTTTCATGTTGTTGCCAGATAGCTGATTTCGAGATTTTTCTCTTTTGCAAAAACCAAAAACTCTTTTTCATATAATTTTAAACATTTCTGCTCCTATTTTAGCTAATACAGTCTTCTCTCCCTTCTTCGTGAGTCATATTCAACTCTCAGTTCACGTGCGCCTGCAGCCGGCGGCAAATGGAGTCAGAAAAGAGCAAAATACTGATAATCGGAGTAACAGGCCGTCTAGGGTTTGAACTGGCAAAGGCCAGCCTCAACTCCTTGCATCCCACATTCGGACTCGTCAGAGACTCAGCATTTTCCGACCCCCATAAATCCCAAAAGCTTCATTTCCTTTCTGGCGCTGGCGTTACACTCATCAAGGTACTTCCCCGCCTTCCTCAAAGATTATGATCAGATTCGCCCACCCTTTTCCTAGTTAATTATACGTACTTAAAATTCTTTAAAAGTACTCTCTTTAGTTCTAAAAGAATTGTCAATGTGTGTCAAGTTTATGTTTCATTAGCTACATTAGCATAGGCAGATCCAAAATTTGAACTTTATGGCTTCGAGTACGAAGAAGTCCATTCGATTATGGGTTCGAAACCCGTATCAACTACCCTACATCCACCCCTGCGCATTAGTAAAGACTATCCCTATATGAAATTACACATAACTCATACTTCAAAGTTAGCCTGGCCTAATAAGAAATCTAATATATGCATAATTAGTGCAGCAATTGGTTTGCGGCATAAGAAATAGTAATATCCCCAACGCTAATGCATGTTTGGTTGGTGGTGTTGAACGTAATACCATGTATTATTTTATGCGCGATACAATGTGCAAAATGAATACATGTGTTGGCAATGCGTGGATAAGAGTATCTAAAAATCAAAATGCCCTTAAAATAGGTAATCATTGCATAACATTCTACATATTAGTATTCACCACACAACAATCCCTACATTATTATTAACCTTTAACAATTTCCTAAATTATTGTTTATCAGTATGGCAAATCCTACATTAAAATTCTCGCGTAACTAGTACCTGAACAAATGACCCCTTACAACATAAAATGTACCATAAAGTGTAATTTGTGTAGATAAAAAAGTTTAATCAAAGAAAGAAAGTATAATTTGTTATCTTCTCTAAGAAAGAAAGTTTAATTTGTCCTCATCAATAGAAAGAAAGTAAGTTGTATCAAATGTAGAGTAGGTGCAATGGTACTCTGTGTGGACTGAATTGAAATACTGGATCTTCCTTATAGGGGTCGCTGCAAGACGAAGATATCCTGGTTGAAGCACTCAAGCAAGTTGATGTGGTAATTTGTGCTGTTTCATCTAAGCAAGTCCTTGAACAAAAGCTTCTGGTTTCTGCTATCAAGCGTGCTGGTTGCATTAAGGTCATAGTCTGTGTTACGTTTCCTTCTTTTATATGACTGCACTTTTCATTTAACTTTCCTTTTTACATAGTTGGTTTTGTCTGCTACAAATGTCTCAGCAGAGAGCTGGCTCTGCCAACAATTTAGGTCTTATTTGATCATTCTATTGGGCTCATAAATCTAATCATCCTACTAACCTGAGATTTTAAATATGTTCTCTGGTAGTGCTAATTTGATTGACCTCTTGTTCTTTTTTTTCCTTTCCATTTCTGGATTGATGTGAGGATATTGTAGGCCTGAATGGAGTTCAATGAACAGAATATCTATACGAATTCATACAGCTGATCCCAACTAATTTGAAAATGAGATGTTGCTGATTCATTAATATTAGGCAATACTAATCTTATAGATAATTGTCGAATCACAAACATCCTGTAAAAGAAAAGACTGCTCTTTCTTATTCCAAGTTCTTGATAATGTCATATGCAAATCTAGTTGAACCTAGATAGTGTTGATGCACTTGCCTTTTTCTGTACTTAAGATGTGCCTTTTTGCAGCGGTTCCTCCCTTCAGAATTTGGGTCAGATCCTGACAGAACTCGAATTTCCGATTTGGATCACAACTTCTACTCAAGAAAATCTGAGATTAGGCGTCTTATTGAAGCTGAAGGCATTCCTTACACCTATGTCTGTTGCAACTTCTTTACAAGTTTTTTTCTACTGTCACTTGTTCAACCGGGCCGGAAAAACCCTCCAAGAGATGAAGTCAGCATATTCGGTGATGGAACTGCCAAAGGTCAGATGATTGATCCGTCCCAGTTGTATTAGATTAACTTGGTGAGCTTTGAGCTTCACTACTTGGCACTGCCTCAGTTTCTATGAGTATAGTACCCCTTATGCTGTTCTTATGGTAGAAATATGAGATTCGAATGTTGAATGAGTTGCGTTCCTCATTCCATTTCATGCATATGAAGAATGCAACCCTAATTTATGTGCCCTTCCCGTTTCAAGATTTGCAATTTGGGGTAAATTAAAGCTCAGAAGCTGCATGCAATGTTGTTAATTTAGCTATGTTGTTCAGTCTTCATTTAATAAGCAATTATCTACTCATCTTTTTAAGTTTGCTATCTGTGGATGTGTTCCTGTGATTACAGTCTTTGTCATGAGATTACTTATAACATCTTTTCTGTATCTGAACAGCTGTCTCAAACAGGAATATAATATTTCTTATAATGTATAAAATATTTATATGTATTTAATTTAGGCTCTTTTTAATCTGTATTCTACCCTTCTATATGCGTCTACAGGAAACGGCCTCTCTACCTTCTAGGTAGGGGTAAGGTCTGCGTACATACCTCCCCAGACCCCAATTGTGGGATTATACTGGGTTTGTCGTTGTTGTATTCTACCCTTCTATATGCAGTCCCTCTTAGAAGAAATCAGAAACCTTTTCTCCTTCCTCTTTATGGATCACGTTNTGTTTTTGTTTGCCCATTTAGCTAGCGCCTCTGATATGTAGATTAACTATGATGATTGAAGGCAAGTAGACAACTACATCATATTAAGTCCAGCTCTAATTCCTTTATTCTGTTATGTAATCATGAAATATAAAGTTATTTCTTATAGAAGGATATTAGCTTTTTGTTGATTCTTTTTCTCATCATATACAGCTGTCTTTGTGAAAGAAAATGATGCTGCTGCCTTTGCCATAAATACAGTGGATGATCTACGTACTCTGAACAAAGTGGTACACCTGAGGCCACCAGGAAATGTCTATTCCATGAATGAGCTAGTAGATATTTGGGAAGGGAAAATTGGGAAGACGCTAAAAAGGAATTACATCACCGAAGATGAACTCCTGAAGAAAATCAGAGGTTTGTCCTTTAAAATTTAGTATGTTGTGCATACTGGTGTAATCACAAATACTCTTTGCTGGCTCTATAAAAAAGTGCTCATCATACATCTTTGCATTTGAAAGAAGATTTTCAAACTCCTTATCCACCATCTCAGAAACTGTCAAGGCACCTAAATTTGTCAATTTGGAATTGTGATAAACAGGATAAAGCTAATTTTGCAGCTTTATTTTACAAGTAGAGATACTTATCATAGTCCATTTCGGGGGCCAAAATATCCGAGGGTGGGGGTCGATGCCACCCTGCAAGACATAGTCCAATCGACTCAATTTTAGCTGCTTTTCCTTGCCTGACAATCCTCAATTCCAGCTGAGCAGTAATTCTCCTCTTTTTTGTTCAGCATAGCCTTGAGAACAATGAAAAGTAGGCAGTATGAAGGCCGACTTTGGTTGATCAAGAGCCCTACAAATACATCTGCATAAATTCTTTACAGATAATTTACAATGTGAGCTGTTATTGCTAGATGCCTGATGCATATTCATCTCTCTTATTGATCATTGAGAAAGCATAATGCATGAGAAGCTATCTATTTCCTAGTACATCTTATATCCTGAATGGTTAATTTGTTTGTTGCAGAAATGCCGTATCCTGAGAATATGGAGTTGGTTTTCATATACTCTGCATTCGTTAAAGGAGATCAGACATACTTCAGCATTGACTCTTCTGGTGGTTTGGAAGGGACGCAGCTATATCCACAAATAACATACACCACAATAAGCGAGTTTCTGGACACCTTGTTGTAATATTTGTTGCATATTACTCTTCTAACCAAAGAAGTGCATTCCTTCCTTCTATTGATGCATTATAAACCTAGAGATGCACTAGATTCCAACTTGGTTCGATTACTCGACATGCAATCTTCCTCGACTCTTATAGGTGCTCTTTTCTATGGAATCATTGGTTTCTGTATGGCTCCTTATTGGTAATACTAGTTATTTTTGCTTTAAGAACCCTCATTTTACAATATCATCATTTAGCAAGGATGTGTAAGTAGTGACTTTTCTCGAATCATAAATTGGATATGTATAATACTCCCTACGGTTCACAATAAGTGACCAATTTGCTTTTTCATTTTGGTTCAAAATAAGTGACCAGTTATGTAATCAAGAAAGAATTCAATTTGTTTTTACAAAATAACCCCTATGTACATATCCCTAAAAAGTTTTCTTACTCCTCACATTAAACGTTTAATTAGGGGTAGTTTAGTCATAGTAGGTATTTTTATATAGAATTTTGTATTTTCTTAATGGGCGTGCTAAAAGTAAATTGGTCACTTATTGTGAACCGGAGAGAGTAATAATAATAATAATTATTATTATTATTATATTTTTTTTGAATCTCTTAAATTTAAAACCTGCGAAGTCTGTAATGTTGTGTCCAACAAATATGGTTTCTTGAAGTTGAGGGCAGGCTACTGACCAAGCTTTTTTTTTTGGGCCAAAAGTGCTTTTGAGGAGGGGCATTTGCATCTATACCCGTTTTTTGGGTCACGTTTTAACTTGTGCCCGCTTTGCAAAAAAAATTGTAAGCGTACCCACTTTTTCGCATAACTTCAGCATACGGGGCTGAAATAGCAAAGGCAATAACGCAAAACTTCAGCATTCTAGTAGACGGGACTGAAGTTACAAGTGTACTGAACCAAGTGTGCTAAAGTTTTTGTTTGTAATTGTTGAACTTAAACATAGTAGTTGAAGTTTTGTTCTCTATTTGTTGAAGTTTTTGTTTGTAATTGCTGAAGTTATTGCTTTTGTAACTGGCGAACTTTAGCTCTAGAGCTGAAGTTTTTTGTTTAGTAACTGATGAACTTTAGCTCTAGAGCTGAAGTTTTTGTTTTTGTAATTGGCGAATTTTAGCTCTAGAGTTGAAGTTTTTGTTTTTGTAATTGGCGAATTTTAGCTCTAGAGTTGAAGTTTTTGTTTTTGTAACTGACAAACTTCAGCTCTAGAACTGAAGTTTTTGTTTTGTAACTGTCGAACTTCAGCTCTAGAACTGAAGTTTTTGTTTGTAACTGGCGAAGTTTTTGTTTGTAACTGGCGAACTTCAGCCTTCTTAGAGTTGAAGTTTTAACTGACTTTCCATATGATTCGAACATTGAAAGTATTAGATGGAAATACAGGTGCTCACTAACTTATGTAATCCTCTTGGTCAGATTCCTCCAATTTGGTATACTTCTTAAATACCAAATTGATGAACTAAAAGGTTTCTATCTTCACAACCCATATCAATTACTGGAACATTTTCACAATCAGCGATTTCAGAAAGGAGTGGCCTATCAGATTGAGGGCGGATATAACTTTGAGGAGAAGGAGGAGGAGGAGAAAGGAGACTGAAGTTGTTTAAAAAGTGGGTACAAGTTAAAACTTTAAAAAAAAAATGGGGGCGACCAAATAGGGCGCCCCGTGCAACTTTTACTTTTGAGGAGAAGCAGAGAAATGTAACTTGCTTCTCTCCAAAAATACTTTTCTGAGAAGCACTTTTGAGAAAAATACACTTAGAAGCAGTTTTAAAAAGCTTAGCCAAACACTAATTAGTGCTCAAAAGTGCTATTCAAATTAATTAGTCAAACACAAACCGATTCTTACCAAAAGTAATTTTTTGAATACTTCTCAAAATAAGCAGATTTAGAAGCTTGCCAAACAAGCTATAAGACTAATTGCAACTTGCAAACTCTCTTTGCATGCCTTGCCATAAATGATGGTATTCACTTTTCGTCTTAGATAGTNGGGGGGAAGAGGGGCGATAAAATGAGTTTTTTAGTGATGGGGATTAGAGATTCCATAAAAATGAGTCACATTCTAAACAACCATGGTCTATAGAGGGATCGTGTACAACTCTCAATCTTGGTTAAAATTAGAAATCTCTCAAGTTATCAACAACAACAGAGTTATGAGCCTGTTGAACTATGTCATTTCAAAAAATGCCTCCGTCTTTATATCTCTTAGCAGTTACTACTTGAAAAGTAAAATCAGAGAAACTGGGAGATGATAGTTACAAGGGCACCAATTAGCATTTGCATATTCGCTTATGATATGCTTAGCAGATGGTGTGATTCAATCAGAGTCCGCAGCTGCCTATCCGATAACCATATTCCCATTATATAATAGAGCTACTGAAGATGCACCTCTGTTGCCATTTTTGTATCTAAAGCTGTTTCTAATGAAGGATGATCCAAGAACACCAAATAATGTCCTTTACATCAGCCCTCCGCACGATGAGATTATCTTGGATGAGTTTCTATCTTTGTGGGATAAAGAAACTGGAAAACCCCTTGAAACTTGAAAGGGCGTAAATACCAGAGGAACAAATTAGGAATACCGAAAAACCTTGGAAAGGTATACGTACCAGAGGAACAACTTGTTAGGAACATTGAAACTAAGAGTGCCCTCGAGCTCTTCAGGTATTAGGTGATAGTTTGCTTAGTCGAATAACACAGGAGTTCGGTTTGTTTGAGAAATTCCTACGGCTATTTATCAGGCCAAATGCACCAGAACATAATTTGCACTGACAGGTTACTACAGGAAATGGTACCCAGCACTAAACAAGGAACTACAGTCACACCAAATGGTAGGATCTTGTGCAACTCACAGCAGGTGGTAGAGGTAATGAAAAAAGAACTAGTAGGGCACTAAAGAATGTATTTCATATGCTAATAAGATTCACTGCAAGTAACTACAATAGATCTCCATTTTCCAATCAACTATGGCTACCAGAACTGTAAATCTGGTTGTTACATGTACCAGATTAGACTATTTCAGTAAGTACGAGTATCAAAACTAATAGAAAAGGAAAAACAGCTAAACAATCACTAACAAACTACATCTTGGTAACTCCGTATTCAGGTCAGAGTAGAATGTAGAAACAATCCCATAAACAAAAAATTATGTAACTTCATCTATTCTTTTTCCCATTTGGCCTATTTCTTCCTCCATCTAATTTTGAAAAAAACCAGCAAAAGTTCAGTCTGCTCTGGGGCTGCTGCCACTTGCTGATGGCCTTTTCCCGGAGTACTTCTATTGCAATAACAAAGAAAGTGCATCAATACTTACCAAATGAGACTAGTAAAATCAAATGGTGCCTGCATAGGCAGCTTGACCCAACTTGAAAACACAAACTCATTAGCTGCTCATCTCACCTGCTTTCCAAGGTTGAATGGGATGTATTTGTATTTGATCATGTGCATAATTTGCCGCTTCATTGTAAGAACAAAAAGAACAATCCAATAGCAGAGCAATATAGGCCAGAACACGGGAACATCAAATAGAGAGAAGAAAGTCATCATAAACGCAATACAGAAAGCCTTTGTTATGGCATACCTGAGACAAACAAAACAATCATAAACATGCAGTGACACCTAAAATGTTCGAGAAAGTATCAAACAGCCTGAAACAGATGTATTGGAATCTTTATCGTGCTTTAATATGCTATGTAAAGGAAAAATGCAGACAGCAACTAGGCGATCAATAAGTGGCAATAGCACCCAAAAGCAATATCGAGAAAAGTTACAGCAGTGCCTTGAATGAGTCCCCATGACTTATTTAAAGTCATTCCCACAAGAAAAAGAAAGATATTTGACTATTGAAAGAAATAGTAAAACAAACCCCTCTATGTTTACCATATCACAAAAGACTACAATCTGTTATGAAACAGTAATCAACAGACATAAAGTGCTTCCATGTTGTAACCTTGAGATCCTAAGTTTGACCTTCCTGCTTTCCAAATTCACAACTCCGCACCCCAGAAACTAAAAAGATGAACAAACCAGTTTTTTCATTAACATGAAGCACCAAAAGATGTCATTCTCCTTCCTATGATTCTTTGGTTAATGGAAAACATAGCATACCATTGGATGGTGTAAGTAGTAACTCCAGATTATGCAAAATTAATCAAAAGAGATGCATGCACACAAGTACATGAATGGCTGATAGAATGCAAGTAACCTAACAATTGACATTCTTCTCTAAGGAGATGCATGCACATGAATACAAGAATGCTAAAAATATTAAGTAGCCCAGAATGAAAATAACCTAATGATTGGTATTCTTTTCTTCCAAGGGTTGACATTTTTCTTTAGTTTAATAACAAATTTTTCCTTCTTTAATACACATGTAGTCTGTAACAGTAAGATACCGTCACCGAAAAAGGTTGATTTTCAAAAGGCAAAAACAGAACATTACGGAGCATTTATGAAACTATAGTAGTGATCCCCCAACTTATTCCTTCTAAGCAGGCATTTTCTAGAAGTCACCTTAAAGAAAGAAATTGAAGTAATTCCAAAAGATTACAACCCAGGACATGGGGGAAAAAGAAACCAATATTCTAAGGTTATTGGAGGACCCCAACACCCTCTAAAACAACCTTGATACTGCCCTCGGCTCCGTACTTGTTCATCTATTGATCACATTATTCCTACAGATCCGTTAACTTTGGGAAGTGATTCTGTAACTAACTTGGCTTCCACTCTAGTCTAAAGAGCCCCCAATCTTCTTCTTTTTTTTTTTTGGAGAATGGTCACAGAAATATTATCAGCATAAAGGCTGTGCTTAAGCCATATTTACAGTTCAAAATCCAAACAGTAATCCTTGTTCTATCTTACAAGTCATCTATAATGTCAAGCAAAGGTTCTCTGCATCTTCTAAAAAGCTGTCTTTACACCAAAAATGAAACAAAAGAGCACCCAATCTTTCTTCTTTTTGTCTTTCTTTTGAGGAGTTAGCCAAAAGTGCCCCTAATCTTACGCAACATATATCAAAGATCATACATTGGACAATATTGTCGCACATGTCAAGGAAGGAAAAAGGCGGACAATACTTCAATGTTGCTGAACATGAAGCAGCACTTTTTTTTTGTGTCTCCTGATGCTGGTAAGGAAAAGGTGGGCAGTACTACTATGTTGCTTTCATCAGTTCATGAAGCAGCTCTTTTTCTGTATTTTCTAATACTACCACCCCGTCCTTGGAGATATAAAT